TTTTTTGCCGATTCTATGATTAATACAGATTATTTCCATGTGTGCGATACATGTGATGCCAATGGTAAGTGATTCCTATCACACGTTCTAGAACAAAAGAACCTACTCTTGGTTGCACTACCGCCCACGTCAGGAGCATCCGTGAAGGCTGTTGCAATCTCGACGTTGTACTGCTGCTCTTCGTTATTCAGGTTCAGAGTTTCGGATCCATTCTGAAAGTGGACGTGTGAGATGCGGGCGGGCAATCGTTTCTATCGTTTTCTCGTGTTTGGTATAAAACTATTATCCTCATGATTTAGAAAGGCTTCTTCAAAGCCATGTTTGGGTTCCACGCGATCAGATACCGATCAAAGCATCTTGGCATGCTGATAGCATCCTATTGAAGGCACAGTTTACGATCAATTTTTGGTATCTTCAAGCCAGATAGTGGAACAGATGTGCAGAATCGTGCGTGCAGCAGTTGCTGAGAAAGCATGATAATTCGTGCAATGTGAAACAATAGTTGAATATTGAAGTGGTGGGTTTTAGGAGTTATTGCGGGGGAAGTGGCATGGACGAGGTATTGAGGCGAGATTGGAGTCGTGTTAATTCGCACAAAGAACTGGCCAAAGTAAACAAGGACTGCCAAAAATTGCATTACACCAGTGCCATTGGTCAAGACTGCGTGCACCCCGAAAATTGGGAACCTTCCTCTTGTTATTCTGTGCTTCTGGTTCCTTATTCACATTATTTGGTGTTGCTGCTGTTATTCTTCTCTCAGGTTACGTCACATTGTTGTTCTCTCTCAGCAGTTGTTTGCATTTTCAACACATCTGTTCCAATGTAAAAGGCACTGTTTGTAAAATACACTGCAAATGTGCATACATTCCAGTTCACAACAAAACAGGACGATAAGAATCTGGTTGTTTTGTGTACTTTTCGAAGCTCTATGCCCTTCACTTTTATTGGTGAGCTTTCGGCATATAATGCCTTCGTCAGACCTTAATTACTTACAATATATTGCTGCATACAATCAGTTACTATCTGTTACAATACAAAACACATCGAATCATACC